TGTGTTCCATTATTAAGTCAATTCTAATTTATGGTGACCATTTCCAGGTTTATTTGTTTGTTTTGCATACCGCCTGTCTGGTTGCAAAGGCCATTCTGGGTGGCTCACAACAAGCAATAATAAACATTACATTAATATAAAAATGAACAATAAACATAAATTAATCAATAAACTTAAACTTAAGGTGGTTCACCATTCCCTTCTTCTAGAGGTGCCCCAGGACTGTGCAACTTGCCTATGACTGCACAGGCTAGATCTTTTCCTAGGAGACAGAGTCAGGAATTGAACTCCCAACCTCTGGCTCCGCTAAGCCACAGAGCTATCCAGCCAGAGTCAGGAATTGAACTCCCAACCTCTGGCTCTGCTAAGCCACAGACCTATCCAGCCAACTATATAAACAACGATTTAAACAATAATAGCCAGGATCTTATTGGTGAGTTACACTGGTATTAACTGCAGTGCTGTAAACTACAAAAGTGAATTGGGAATAATAAACACATTGTCACTTGAATCTCTTGCTATGCACCAGTCATGGGATACTAACAGCCACTCATTAACTAGTGACAGTTTGCTGCTGCAATTTATGCCATTGCACTTAACACTAGCATAATTAGCCAACAGGATTCTGGCCAATAATAAATTATTCACAATGTACTGTACATTTAATTATGGAGTAAGCTGATTATCTGTAACATCCTCCTCAAGAAAATGATGAGTAGTTCTAAGATGATGATGATGATGGTGATGGTTCAAAAATATCACGCACAGCCAATCAAAATTGTAAACACATTGACTGGTATTATATAGATGATGATGATGATGATGATGATGGTTCAAAAATATCAGGCACAGCCAATTAAAATTGTAAACACATTGACTGGTATTGTATAACACATAAAAGTTTTAACCAAAAACCTAAGTATCTGTTAAATACTGACATACTACATATGCTGTTCCTAATATTGCCATTTTTGTAGCTCTTATGATGATCTGAGATCATCATCATTAATCAAAAATACCAGGCACAGTCAATCAAAATTATAAAAATATTGACTGCTGTTATATAACAGATACAAGTTTTAACCAAAAACCTAAGTACAGTATCTGTTAAATATCCGCACAATATGCATGCTGTTCCTAAGTATTGCCATTTTTGTAGTTCTGATGGTGTGATTTCTGAGATCTGCAACTGTTTATAGTACTGTGTGAAATTTCTTGATATATGTTCCCAAAGCCCCGATGACTATGGCGACCACTGAAGTGTGTTTCATCCACAAGTGAGATGTTTCGATTGCCAGATTTCTTTATTTTTGTAGTTTTTCCCGTTCTTTATTTTCAACGCTGGCATCCCCCGGAATTGCAATGTCAATGATCCAGATGTTTCTTCATTCTATTACTACTATGTCTGGTGTGCTATGTTCAAGATGTCTTATCAGTTCGGATCCGGAAATCCCACAAGATCTTAACTTTCTCATTTTCTGGCACTGTGATCTCCAACATTATTTTATGCCCTTGTAGTTGGTCCATGGGAATGGACCTCAACAGATGGGAAACCTTGACATCTGAGCGTTCAGCCTGGAGGCAGGCGGTGCATCATGGCCTCTCCCAATTTGGAGAGACCCTTGTTCAGCAGACCGAGGCAAAGAGGCAGTCCCGAAACAAGCAAAACCAGGGAGCTGGACAGGGGACAGATTGTATTTGTCTTCAATGTGGAAGAGATTGTCACTCTCGAATTGGCCTTCTCAGCCACACAAGACACAGTTGCAAGACCTTCATACAGAGCACGTTAACATAGTCTCTCGAGACTGAAGGATGCCTACAAGGAGTTGGTCCATAAAGCAGAGGTGGCTCGTGACTGAAAAAGGACCTGCCCCCCAAACAACAGAGGGGGAGCAAGTTGTATCTCAGCCCTCAAGTCACCCTGGGCATAAATGTAATTCTCTCAGGATGAAACTTGGATTTTGGGGGAGAGGTGCCGACATGGCCATCCCAATCTTTGTTCAAAATTATCAAGACACATTATCTAAATGTACTTTTTAAGTCCTTACTTCTCTCTGTGAACAACCAGACAGATTCACTATATTATTTGTGCAAAAGTACCTGATGCTATGATCTTGTAATAATTTCACTTAGAGATGGCTAAACAGCTTTTGAATAAGCACCAGATAATTTTCACAGCCTTTGAAAGGGCTTTTTCAGCCTCAATTGAGAATTAAAGGACAATTCATATGTAAGGGCTGCTGAATCCCATGTGAAATGCCTCTATTTTACAAGGTTTAGAATTCAAAACTGGCTGATGCGCAATTGCATTAATGCTTTTATGACTTCCTTTCAGAGAAGCGTGTTTTATTCAAAGTGACTTGGAATACAAAAGTAGTAAGAACGATGCTCTGACAAACAAATAAAAGCCATCCTATACAGAATTCACTGTCTTTTACGAACCACATTTTAAAAACTCCCTAATCAAGTTGAGAATACCAGAAACCATGAGAGACAAAGAGTCTGTATCAAAACACAGCACGTCAAAGGGATTGTTCGTCAAAGCAGAACACAAAACACCAAGCAGGAAGAGGCTAGGGTTCCTTTTGCCTTTCTGGGCTGCCAGACTTCACGCAAGCAAGACTGACAATCACAGCATTGACTTTAAAAAATGAAAATACAAACTGACGCAGAGAGGCTTTCTCTTAGTGGAACCCATGTGTTTCATGTGCATGTAAATTTTAAAAAACCAGCAGCATGTGATGGTTCATGCGAGCTTGTTCGTAACGCCAAGACTAATTAATAATATCATATGGTGCCATGTACACCCAGGAGGAGCCCCGGACAAAACTTTTCTAACTCCATCTGCTCTGTTGGGTTGCTTTTCAGTCTTGGAAATGCAGAGTTTACTGGATGGATCAAGGCAAATGCGTTGGAGATAGCATTATTTCCTTTACCTAAAAAAAAAAATTCACACAAGTCAGAGATGAATTTAGAGAGGGAACTGGCAACCAAAGTCTCCCGTGTCAAATTTCAAAAATCTAAATCTTACTTATTCATTTTCTGCAGTGCTGACTGTTATGCATATCGCTTGGTTTGGAAATGTCCCTACAAAGCAGATGGTACACAATTACTGTACTGGTTTCATGGGTGCAGGTCGTCTCCAGGTAAGGATTCTAACTGCAAAACCCAAATGCCTTATTAATCTGTACCACTAATTTGGTAGCTTGCTAGAGAGCTCCTGAGCTCTACACCAAGCTTCTGAACCATCAGCATCACAATTGGGCCATGTGATGCTAGCAACCAATCATGTTTCACATGTCCCTATAAAGTAACTGATTGGCCTAGCTCCTCAGTCTGAGTAGGATGTTGTTTGATGCAGAGTGAAGCCTGTGTCTGCCTTTCTGCATTGTAGCCTTCCCTTTTAATCATCCATTCTGACCTACACTTAGCATATGAGTAGACTTCCAAAGGTATTATCAGCAGCAATTAAATTGCTACTTTGAAGTTAATTTGGGATGGGCAACTTTGAGAATTTAGGGTCTTTTTTCACCTATCCCTGGTCCTCAGTGGTATCCCCTCCCTAATTTTTAAAATCTGGGAATAAACGAAAAATCATTTCCAGTTTTTTTTCCCAAACAGGCAAATCCAGTCCTAAAGCAGATGAGGGGGTGGGATTTTTGGACAAACAATTGAGAAATATTATCTCAAGTGGCAGGTACTGAAATAGTCCTAAATATTCACAGAGCCTCGTGGTGCAGTGGTTAAACTGCAGCCAAAATTGTGTTCACGACCCCGAGTTCAATCTCAGGTAGCCGGCTCAAGGTTGACTCAGCCTTCCATCCTTCCGAGGTCGGTAAAATGAGTGCCCAGCTTGCTGGGGGGGGGGCAGCGACGTGTAGCCTGCATAATTAACTAGTTAACTGCCCAGAGAGTGCTTGAAGTGCTATGGGGCAGTATATAAGCAGCACGCTTTTTTTTGCTAAAGAGTAAAATAAATTTGTGTTTTTGATATTCATTCAAAATGAAATCATTTTTTTAGTGTGAAAAGTGGATAAGGGCAGAGACTGCACAAATTTCACTATCCTATAATCCAGAATGGACAGCATCAGTAGATACAGGGACCACTTCATGCCCCTCAGACTAATTGCAGGCTGTACAACTACTAAAAAAATGTGAGGGAGGCTTAGCCTTCCTGAAACTGGGAGTGATTTTGAAGTTCAATTTCAAGTTTTTTTTAAATTGTATTTTTCATAAGCAAGGAAGTTTGTGGTTCCTGGGATAGTTATTCATTCATTCATTATTTCAACTTGTTTAGCACTGCATAGTACAATCATACTTTGAGTGGTTCACAACATGGTCACAATACATCACATTTTTAAAAACACAATACAATGCAGAAATAAATATCATAAAATTGATAAAACCACTGTAACTAACTAAACTCATGTTTAAATAAATAAACAAAATCAAATAACTTTTGACATCCTAGGTAACAAGCACTAATAAAAAGCAGCCTTAAACAATTCTGCTTTTTAAAGTAATTTGTTGAAAACTGAGAGAGAAGGCATCTTGGGAAGTTTGTTCCAGAGATATGAGGCAACAACCAAAAAAAAAAAACCCAATTCCTGATAGTCACTCTTTTGGCCTCTTCAGGTGTTACCATTTTTAACACCTTGGACTGCAAAGAGCGGATGGGATGAATAGCTGTTTTGTAAGGGAAACATTCCAACAGGCATTGAGGTTCTAAACCATTAAGGGCTTCATAGGTGATGACTAGCAGCTTGAATTAGGCACAGAAACTAACAGGAAGCCAATGGAGACGTGCCACGACTGGACAAGCAAGATGGGAAAAACAAGTGAAAGCAATGCTATTTAAACAAGTGTTTCGGTCCATTCTCCCCTGAGGAAACAAAATTTGAAGGATGTTCAGGTTAATGAATAAGGGGATTCTGAGGCACAAAATGAGGGGCAGGGGGTCTCAGACTGAGTCATTTATTTTCAGATTAAGTCCCTTGCTTAGTAAACAACTGTATCATTTCCTTGCATTAGGTCCTGAATTTTCTAGCCGTGCTGTGAAAGACTTCTGGTTGGAATCCAAGAAGAGCACTGCCAGTCACAGTCAAAAATAGGAAGTAAACTGGACCCACAGCTTTACTCAGTAGTAGGCATTGTCCTGTTACGTTTCCTAACTCCAGAACAGCTAGATAACTCAGTGATTATCTAAGGTTATCTAGGATTTAGGGCTCTGGCTGCAGAGCCAGAAGTTGAGAGTTGGATTCCTCACTCTGCCTCCCTGGCCAGTACTGGACTCGGTGATCCGTAGGGTCTCTTCCAGCTCTGCAGTTCTAAAATGATGATCTCCTCAGAAGCTTAGAATGCCCCAAACCACTGAAGACTAATCCATTTAAGGGGAGCTCTTCCATTCTCCCATCCCCCATAGCTTAAAGAAAACCTTGGGCGAAATACTTTGGATAGGCCTTGGCTTGCAGGAGTGAGATGTGATACAAAGGAACACTGCTGTGGCAATGACAGACCCCCTCAGTCACTGAGGGGGGGTCTGTCATTGAGCAGCTCGGCACACACTAAGAGAAGTTCCCTCCAGAGAAAACAACATGCCTTCTACCGCCGCCACAATACCTTTGGATACTGTATATGGTGTCTTTCAATTCAAAGATTAAGAGAACAGGAGATTTACAAGATTAGGAAAGGTGTGGGGTGAATGAGGAACAGGGAAATGTTATTAACCTGTCCCTCTCAGAACACTCAGGAAATCATCTGTTGAAATAAATAGGCAACCGGGCTTGTGAAAGATAAAAGGAAGCCTCCAATCAACAGAACCTGGCCATGCTATCAACGGATGGGAATTCTTGGCTACAGGACATTGTGATGGCTGAGAGCACAAATCTTTTGAACTTGACAAGGAAAATACTTTGAGGACAGATCTGTTGGTAGCTGCTGGTCATGACAGCTAAAAGATCAACCGGATGTCATATCTGAGTAAAAGATGAAAAGGCCTAAGATTGAAGATATATTACTGGCATGATCCTCTCTTTACAGGTTTCCTCCGTGCACCAGAGTCACAGGAGCTGAGTACTATTGGAAGCCAGAGAGTGGTGCTGTACATGTTCCTGCTCATTCATATGTTTTTTAAAAGTATATTGAAAGCAAGACAATAATATGTTTCTGGGTTGCACATTCAAAAGGTGAAAAAGCAGATTATCATATCCTATCAGGACAAATCTTTGTTCTTACATCAAAGGCTCTTTGTGCTTAAGCCCTACTTATCTTTCTGCTTTTGTAGCCTGATTAGGGATGCTTGAAGAATTAACTTTTTTTTTTAACAGATTCCAATACCTGATCTGTGCCCGGACTGACAGGGTCAGATCACAAATGGCTATTTCTTCCTTTCACAATGCTATCTCTTTAGGCAACGCCTATGGTGGAGTCATCATATAAGCAAAAAAAAAAAACAACAACAAAAACCCAAAAAACTGACAATCTCCCAACTGACTAATTACAAAACAAAACTACAGTAATCGAAATTGACAAATGCAGATTAAGGTATGTTTTTCTAAACACTCAATCTTTTAGTCTTAAGAGTGTGTTACTTCCAGATATTGAATCAATTTCTAATCTAGTGTGGCCCTCAGTTTTCAACCAGTCACTACACTTGAAGTTTGTTCCAGTACAGATTCAGGTTTTTAAGTGTCAAAGTACATTTTTAGAATGAGTATTTTGAGAGAAAACTCATGTTAAACCACCAAGAGCAGCCTAAACAATAGGCTGAATGAGGTGACTACCACAGACCATAGATTTGGGGAGTCATGAAAATGTAGAGGATTGTCAGTACTTTACTTCATTTTTAAGATACTTTTAGTGCAAGGAAGAAGAAAGGGTGCTTGTGGGATTCCTGTCTCAGACAATATAGCAGGCTTTAGATACTATGCACTTAGGTAGGTGGGAAGGGGGTGAGCCTCAAGCAGAAAAATGGCTTACACTGGCCCTGTAAATCACATATTCAAATGTGAATGTTTCAAGTAGAAATGAGACATGACTAGCAATATATGGGAAAATGGCATTGAGCAGAAATAAACTGATTTGCCTACCTTTAATCTTATGTGCCTCCTGCAATCATCACGCTTCGCTCTCTGTCCCTCTAAATTTCCTGATGAATTAGATCTTTTTCTCTGTTCATTGTCCTGACTGTTCTCTCTTGCTATGCTTAATGCTGGGTACTTTCCAGAACATGGGTATCTCCATCTTTTCCTTTTCAATCCCACATTCAATATCAACTTCTGTGATTGACTTGGGTTAACTCCAGATTCCTAATCTTCAACCGGACAAAGGTTATGCCTGTCTAACTTCTGTGATTGACTTGGGTTAACTCCATAGTCCTAATCTTCAACTGGACAAAAGTTATGCCTGTTCTAGGTAGGGGCTCCTGCTTTCCCCCCCCCTTCCTCCCTCTCTCCACTTTCTGTTGTTGACCCTCATACCCAATGTTGGTAAAGTGCAGACAAAAACTTGGGCTGGGTCCACAGTACCCTTGAAACTGGAGTCACTAGCTGCCACTGAACAAAAGTAATTGTGCTCTTTAAATGTACTGGTTTGTAACATATTAATAGTTTGTGGGTTTTCTGTAATTTAATTTTGAAAATATCCAAGATAACTTCAGTTTCCTTGTTAAATCTGAAAGGGCATTGCTAGTGGCAACTACCAGACATAACTATGCCATACAGATTATTATGGGTCATGTTATTAATAAAAACAAACCTGGTTGGTATTGTCAAAGTCAATGGTGACATGGAGCAGGCATTGGTCAACTTTGCCTCTTGCTGGGTATTCAGACCAGGTGCCTGAAATAGGTTACTTAGACCAGCCACTTTTCCTTTCTGGATGGCCCGCAAGGATTGCCGCCGATACTCATCACGAGCCCGGCGTGCTTTATGGCTCCTTTCTTCATCAGCAGCTTTTGAGCGACGTACTGCAGGGAATGAAAAAGCAGAAACTCATCATGAATGTCATTACAATTTTTTTTCTTCAGAATAGCCTACGTGATTTCTGAAAATTGCCATGTTAAGGTAGGAGTGCAGCAACAAGGGAAGCACAGCACACCACTCCCCATCCATCAAGATGAGTCCAGATATTAGGCTGAGTTGTAAAAAAAATGAAAGTAAACCACTTGTGAATTTCATAAAGTTGAACTGCAGTTCAAATTCTGTAACATTTAGTTGCAGTTGTTGGTGTTAGACATGATCGATGCAACTCAGCTTACAGTCAAGAGGATGCATGTCTTTGTAGAGGGAAGAGGCGAGAGAGACAGAGAGAGAGAGAGAGAGAGAGAGGAACTCTTCTGGTTTCCTGAGCCATTGCTTTGATGCTCTGATCTGTGCTGAGCTTTTTTTTTACCTTAGTTTGCTATTTTTAGAGTTGCTGGTGTCACCTCTTTTCTCCTCAGACCTCTTCTCTCTTGTCCTTCCAAAGAGAGGACATCCTTCCTTTATACTCAAGAGATGAAAGGGGCAGCCGTGGCTCCTGACATCTCCAATTAAGTTAGCTAGAAATAGGACTTCTGTCACCTTTCCCATCCCAAGTGTACTTACCTCATAAACACTTGCTTTCCTATTTCCTTAGAAAGAAATTTGGACATGAACCTGTGGCATGTTTTGCCCTCACAAAGGCTCACGTCACATTTTCTTCTCGCTGCCACCAGTGAATTACCCCAATCCACAATATAAATGACGTTTGTCTGAACACTTGACTTGTGAACAAAACAGAACTTATTTATTGAAGTGAAGCAGATTGAATAACAGAAGTTCTTCAGATACACATTATACATAAGCAATTCATCAACAGTTCTCTCAGTACATACAGTGGTGCCCCACTTGATGATGTTAATTCGTTCCACCGAAATTGCTGTAGAGTGAAAACATTGTCAAACGAAACAAAAAAACTATTGAAATGCATTGAAAACCGTTCAATGCGTTCCAATGGGCTGAATACCTACTCGTCCAGCGAAGATCCTCCATATGGCGGCCATTTTCAGTGCCTGTATAGTGAGGAATCCAGCCTAGAAAACAGTGGGGGCCATTTTGAAAGCCAGTGCCCATTTTGAAACCCGACGATCAGCTGTTTGCTGATTGTTGTAAAGCGAAAAATCATCGCACAGCGAAATTCATCACACAGCAAAATTTCCCCATTTAAACCATCATTTTGCGATCGCAAAAGCGATCACAAAAACATCAATGTAATGCTGATTCGTTGTAGAGCGGGGTAATCGTCCAGCAGGGCACGACTGTACTTCTTTTCTCTTGCTATATCATTACCACCTTCCCTACCTATTTTCCTAATCATCTCTATCTCTCTCAGTATCTGTTCCCTCTCCCTCTCTCTGACTAATGAGCCCTATCTAACGACGACTTCTCCTGCCAAGCCTCGTGTAGCTGCTGGCTCCGCCTCTCCAGTCCTCTCATAGGTTCATGCAGATCAGCTCATGAATACGAATGGCATGAGTGACGTGGGCGATCACCACAGAAGCCTTTACAAATGGAGAAGTATACTCAGGTGATTATTCCAAGTTTCAAGGGGCTGAATCCACAAGTTAAAGTTGCTCCAATGCTACTGTGTCTGTACTCTCCAATGGAAGTTGGAACCATTCAAAATAGACACAGCTAAATCATTCAGACATCCTCCCACTTCACTTCATTGTAAATTGTAAATTTACGATA